GTCGAACCTAACATCTAACTGCACCATATCTCTCAAGTATTGAACATCCAACTTTTTCCTGATCGAATAATTTAGGCCATTCGCAGCCATCTCGACTAATTTGTCCAGGAACTTGAGTAAAGCATTTGGCTTTCAAAAGTATAAACCTATTTAGGTACTGGTTGATTGACTCAACAACCTTTCGTTTAACCCCAACAAATTCCGTCAGGCTAATTTTTTAGTGTCCCGTGTAAAACTGTTCATGGAACAATTTCTCTAACTAATTCCATGTGTGAATCGACTGGGGAGGTAGCGTTGTGAACCAAGTAAACGCATTTTTCTACAGAGAGCTTGGGAAATATTTTAACTTCGTATCCTCATTGTTGGCTATATCACCGGCTTCAGTTTGATACATGGCGACATGTTCAACAATGGATTTTTCCGTATCTCCTGCAAACTTAATAAATTTAGAGACTTTCCAACCCCTAGGTAATTCTGTTTCTAGAACAAAATACGGTAAGGGAGAAGAATATGTTAGTCTCCGAGAACCAGCATTCATCCCATTTCGAATCATAATTCACTCGACAATGGCCTCTAGGTTCTGCTCCTCAGCCACTGCCTTTCGTCGAACATGCCTGACAACCTGGTCGGCTTCTGGTTTAGATCCACTATTACTACTGGGGGTTGTTGGAACACCCTAGGTATATGATCAACGCATTGGGGGATCAGTGGTTCTTGACCGACTGTCTCGTCGACCACCTCCTCATACTGCATTAGTTTCTCACGTGGAGGCGGTGCAGCTTGTCGAACTAGCACTCTTGGAGCACCAAGAAAGTCGCTGATGCGATTCATTTGAGTTGCCAAAGTTTGATAACTCTGCACCAAATTCTTGATCAACGGTCTTAATATGACACTCATCTGTTGAATAAGCATATTGGTCATCTCATGATTACTTTCGTCCATCTGTTGTCTCATGATTGCAATGGCACTTGGGGTGAAAGTAGGCATGATTTGGTGGGAAAATCCCAATCTGATCGAACGACCAAATTGATTTCCCAAAGGCCCTGAGGCATGATACGAGGAAAATTCTGACACTGGGCTTTCACCAAAAGTCGAACTACTATTATGTAGGCTTTCTATCATCGTCGTTAGCATTTCATACTTGTGTTCGCCACTTTGTGTATCTCTTGCAAAACTAGGCACATATTGCCCAGAAATTATGACCACACCACTGTGTATAACTCTTACAAAACTAGGCACATGTTTCCCAGAAGTTGTGACCATGGTTGGTCTTGCAGTTATTGGATCAGTCGTGGTGACTATGTTCGGAGCAGTCAAAGACACAACCTCGGAACTTGAAACTACACTCGTCGTTGCACTGATATTTCCTCCCAGGGTCTGATCTCTTTCTAGAGTTCAAAGATCTACCATTTTTCTTCCACTTCTCAATCTCATGCACAGATTGAGACGAACTTAACACAAACATGTCCCACTGAGTGTGCCAATTTTTTCGCGGAAGTTTTTCGCGAACAATCTCTAATTTCTTAATTAAATGTTACTTGTAGGACCGACTACAGGAATCCTAGACTATCATGTTAAGTTTGACAGTATTTAGGTGTTTGACAAGATCAAGGCGTGAAGAACGCAAATAGGAAAATAAAGACAGGCAAATGATAGATAAATTGCAAGACTGTAATAATAAACAAGACTTGTAAAGATAAAAAAATTCTTTAAATTTAAAGGTGGACGCAATCATACATTTCTCAGAACTGACTCGTTTCTCTATGCGCTGGTACTTTGAGTACTCTCTTATAATGTTATAAAATGCGGCCTCTAAAATGGATACAGTACTTCGCTTAAATAGATGCTAAGAATGTAATCGTCGACGGTTACTTTATCCATTCATGTTGATGGTTTGTGTGACACTACTTTTGAAACTCCAACGTCTCTCTTAATACTCACTTTTGATAACCGGCTTTACCGCCATCTGCTTTTGCTCTCGACCTGCATGGTCGTCGCTAACTTCACTTCGCTCTTGATATTATCTCGTCGACCGCTTTTTTAGGCGTAATTCCTAAAATCCTATCGACATGCCTATAGCTCTTTGTTGATGCTCTTCTTTGACGAAGGATATCACCTAACATGTGGCTTAATACTTAAGTCCAAAATTTGCTTGTCAATAGACAGGTGACTACCCATAACTAAAAGTTGATTGTCCTTGTGTTTCTCCCTTATCATAGGATAGACGTTAACCTAATGTACCCCCACTTGTGAGTCATTGTACCAAAGGCTTGTATATCGAACATCTCATAAGGCCACGACTTTTTTTCTTTAGCCCAATTTTTTCGAAGAACTCGACATATATGATATCATAGGAACTACCTTCGTTGATCAAGAATTGGGACACAACACATTTGGCGTTAATGACAATTACCACTAAAGGAATATGTCATTTGAGATTCCTCCCACTTCTTCACTATCCAGAAACCCCAAAATAGATCTCTCAGGCTTCACGCCTGATGTTTCTCTTTCTTCTTTATTGGCGGTCATCAATTCAGAAACATGTCTCTTAGTTGTGCCCTGGGAGGGATTATTGGGCATTGTCTCTTAACTGTGCCCTATGAGGGGTTATTTGGCCTTAGGATGCTGCATGTGATAGAGGCAACGTATTGATGCTTCCCGCCTCGATTTTCTTTTTCTTCGTTGTTGTTGCTGCCTTTCTTTTCATCGCCTCAGGCCACAACTTTTATGACTTTTGGGGGGGTGGATTCTCCCTTCAAGGGGTATGTTTCTGCTTCGATGACTCCCTACTACTCCTTAATTTCTTCCTTTTTCTCGACTATCTCCTTTGTCTTCTTCTTTGGTGTATTCAAACAAATGACTTTTTTTATCAATCATTCGTGTTGTGGTCGTGACATTTATGAAAATGACAAAACTTAAATCTATCTTTTCTTGGGAATTCTTTGACCATGCAGGGATTCCACATTCCCCGTTCTTTGAAATTTGTGTTGGCACATTCCTTCCAAATTCTTTCCCACAATGTATTCAAAGAGGTGTAAACATTGAACATGAACCAAAGACCATATTCTCCTTCTTCCCTACGATGACCATTGTCTCTCTATAAATATATCTTCGAAATTAACTTAAACTTAACCCAAAAAATGTATATTTTTGAAATACACTTTCAAAAATACTGGGATAAAATTGAATTTTTATAAGATTGTTTTTAATGACATGGAATAAAATAAGAAATTTCCTTATATTAATTAGAATGTTGGACCTCTTTTCAAATCATGAGAAATTTTTTTTTTTAAATCATATAAAGATTGTCATCTCAACAACAAATTTCTTCCTTCAACATTTAAATGTCCGGCAACATATGGCCTTTTAAACTTTTGATTCAAGTCGTGATTGTGTACTTCACACACAATAGAAGACTTCAAACATTTGACAACATGTGATACTCATATAAACTCAATATAGACATGCACATGTTTTTCATTTTAATGTCGGTATATTTTAAGAGGATTTCTTAACCCACCTTATAACTTTCTTACGCGCTATGCAAAATTTATTAAATGTTCCTTAAAATCAAAAATATATTTCCGGTGCACACCAAAATCTGATTAATTAAATATTACACGCACACAAAATCAGAAATGCATTTCCAATACAAAATCAGAAATGTATTTCCAATTTCTAATAAATAATGCATGTCCACCTAAGTGGCTGTGCTACGTTCATTATCACTAAAACATGAGACACCCTATGTATTATTTATTAAGAATCGGAAATACATTTCCAGTTTTGTATTGAAAGTATACATTCGATTTCGTTTTTGCCTTTTGAAAGATGAAATTATATCGATATTTTTTTGTGACGAGTATGATGCAAATTGGAAATACATTTCCAGTTTTAAAAGGGCATTTTCAAAGTTGCATAAAGTCCTTGTTTTGGCCATAGGGTGGATTAAGAAATTCTCTATTTTTTTCACACTCACAATCTCTTTCACAGCTCAACATAGTAAATTATTTTCTCCTATTGAAACCCAAATCAAACCTCACAAAACCTAACTTAGCAACTTCACGAACTCATTTTAGCAAATGTAAATTTATATACAACAGTGAAATATTTACTAATATTTGTTTCCTCAACTGATTTGGCAAGCACACATAACTTCAGGCAAATCAAAGATGAACTTATAGAGTCAAGGACTAATACTATTAAACGGATATGTATTTTTGAATTATTATTTTCCAAACACATTTAAAATGTTATAAAAAATTTCTCAAAAAAAATACTCATAATTTAATTTCTAATTAGAGATTTTCTTTACCTTCATTAATATCTTTTGAAATTTAAAAAATTCAGATTTAATTCATCTCATTTTAAAATATTCTAAAATTTGATATAAAAAAATTTATAATATTCTAAACACGTATGAAATAAATTATTTAAGAGTATGAAATAAATTATTTAAGAATTTAAAAGTTTAAAGGTAAATTAAACAGTTTTCAAAATTTTAAAAAATAAGAGAGACTAATATTGTATGAATACAAATTTTGTAGGGACCAAAATGTGTCAGTTTTTTAATAGGGACTAAAAATTAAATTTAAGATATTTACATGAACCAAAAACATATTTAAACTATAAATGAAACTGTTGATTTATTCAATAAATAAATGAAACAGAACTTGAGGCTACGCAAGGAGGAACTTATGCATCAAAATCATGATCAAACCTGGGGACTAATTTTAAGGATAAACGATTAAACAAGTGATCGTATATCCATATTTATTGTTTCCAGCCAAACGATTAAACGTTGCTCAAAATTGTTTATTCTCACTGTTACCATCAGTCAAGCACAGAAGGAAAAATACATCACGCAAGATGACTAGAATACAAATTACAAAGAAATCACAAGTTATACATGTAATTGCAGGCATTGCTAAAAGAACCTGTAGCCGTTGTCGGAGGAAGAAGGCTTTAGGTAAAAGTGTTGAACCAATATGATGATTAGATTACAATGGACTAACCTGAGAAATTTCATTCAAAAAGAGACACTTGAACACATTGTTGAAGAAATCAACACCTTTGGCAACACCTCCTTCTCCAACCACGATATCCATGTCATATTTGCAAGCTCGCGTACAATCAGGGCAGTAAGTTACCTGAAATAGAAAATACAAGTTATACATGTAATTCAATAATTCGTATAAAGAAATACATCCTTAACAAATGATGCATTAGACATAGCAATTTAATAGACTGGTATCCTAAAATCAAGGAGTTCAGGTAAAATATAAAACTTGTTGATACTGAAAAGAGCATTGAATGAGAACCGTTGTTTCAGTTACCAACCTCTAGTAACTTAGGTTGGAAAGAGCTGTCTAACATGACATCTACACCGTAAATTGCCCTTGATGTTGGACTATGCATCTCAGGATGTGCAACCGCGGCTGCCTCAAACACTGAACGAATCATATTCCTTACTCTTGTATGTATATCCAACCACTTAACTGCAAGAGATACAGGGACATGAATTTCTATCAAAAATTCATTCAAAATGTATAATATGCTCTTGATAAACGGGTGGTAGTCCCAATTACCTTTATGTTCTTCCTCAAATTCCCTCACAAAATCCTTAATATTCTTGTGATTTATTCTTCCACGATAATTCTGAGATCCAAGCATTGATTGAATACGTTAAAACTTGATAAGAAAAAGGAAAGCAGGCTAATATTCAATATTTCAATCAAACATACCATAACGGTGAAATGAGTTTCATACTCAAAAAGACTACTTTTGTCCAAAGAATATTGGTTGTTGGCTATCCTTACCTGAAATAAAACATAAAACTCATTGCCATTAGAATTTAATCTTTTTGCGCATTGGAATAAAATAAAGAAAGAAGAATCAGTATACCCAGAAACAATCTGACAGGAATATCTCCAAAGGGTGCATGCTCCGAACCAGTACTACGTAACGGAGATCAAACTTTTTCCCTTGGAACAAAGCAGGCTGTTCAATATACTTTTGGCATATTTTTGGACCAGTTTCCATGAGTCGGATTATGGCCGATAAATTATCAGTTACAGTAGTATCAATTGTTCGGGCCATGTTCCAAGGTTTTAAGATCCAAAGGTTGTCTAGTCCTTCTCTTTTGCGCGCGTTATAGTCACCAATGAGTTGACCCAGATGAGTTTCAAGATTATAAGTAGGCTGCAACCATTGAGGAGATCCATGTGCCTGTAGCAAGGCAAACCACCCCAACCTCAAAATGACTCATTATTCAAAACGCCTCGAAGCAGAAAAGAGAGACCAACACTTCGATTTATTTGTAAGTGACTTGAAAAATAGAATTCAAATGCAGCATGCAAGGCTGAACAAGTATAATATAATGCATATTTTTGTGAGGGTGTGAGGGCATTTCAATGGAAATGGATAATGGAAACATGTCAAGACATTTAGAATAATCTCATCTACATCAGTATACAATGGTAACTTAACTATAATATCACCTTCTGAATTGTTTCTGCTAAATGATGTTTCATGACAAGACAAGCCTCAAACGGAAATTGATTAATATACTGCTGATCTGTTAAGCCTGTGGCCTTCCTCAATTCCTCATCTACCTGCACACATGTCCATATTATATCTGCATCTTTTGGTTCCTTTACTGCAGCCAAACACATTCAAAACGAGAGGGAAAATGTTATGTCCAAGGTTAAAAGTGGGGACAACCATAAAATCAAAACCAAGGGAATTTTATGACCAACAGAAGATGGCAGTTGTAGTCAGAAAGAGAAAAGGTTCTAATCAAAGAAGGAAAAATCAATTTAGGCTCTTCACTTGAAGATTGACATATATTCAAAGTGTTCCACCAAGTAACAAGATAGCTTAATTGTTAACTATGAATTAATTAAAGAACAAACATATAAGAGTTCAAGCATGCTGTTAGGAGCAGATCCAAGTAGGAGAGCTTACATCAGTTAAGTCAAGGAACCCTGTTAGCCAAGCACTGTCTTGTTAAGATATAGACGGTTGGATAATTAGAGTAGTTATGAGTTAGCAAGTAAGTTGATAATTTTGTAAGGTGGTTGTTAAGAGTAATTATTTTGATTATTCTTATAAAGTCTTTAAATAGCCTTCAATGGGTAGAGGGGAAAGATAGCTTTGAGTAATTGAGTTGTGACTAGAGAAAGCTCTAGTGGAAGGAGAGTGCTTCTTTGAGGGAGTCTTAGTGCAGAGTTATCATCTTCATTGTATACCTTTTGTATCTTCTCTTTCAATCCTAGTATCCCACTCAATTGATAGCAACAAGATGTTCAAAGAATTCTTTTTTTTTTCTCAATATTGTTGACCAATCTTTATTCTAATTAAAACCATTATCTTGTTTCTTCAATTCAGTACATTCTTGGGTGATTTCTTTCCATATACCAAAAGAAAGGTTCCTAAATCCGAACACTCTCTGTTAGGAAAGCTGTTAGAGTTTAGACTGTTTAATAGAGGCAAAGAAGCTGGAGGAAGTTGATTAGTTGACTAATTAGTTGTGAGGGACTTGGGAGAGACCAGCTTAAATACATAGGGAAGACATCATTATATGCCATCCTGCTCTTCTTGACCTGGATAACAATTGATCCAGAGTGGAGTTAGTGGAGGATTTATAATAAAATTTCCTAATATTCTTTTTGTTTGCCTCCATATTTTGAACCAGAACCTGGCATTGAAACTCCCAAGAAATGGGGAACAGTGTGTGGACTGATCAAGAAGTAAATTAAATAAGTTTTGCAGAGGACATTTGCAAGCTTATGGGAAGCATTCAAGGGGGAACAGATAAAGGATTGCAGATTTTAAAGGAGTATGGGTGGATGACCCATTCTGAGCAGCAGTTCAACACTAATAAAATGATGGTTGTGAAAGAACATTTCTACTTCCTACAATGGTACAAGTAATGAGGGGTTAGCAATCCTAAGGAAACCTGGGAAAGCTTCTGAGAAAGGTGATACTCCATCAATTCCAACCCAATTATGATAAGAACCCTTCAATCTAAGTCCAGCATATGGGACTGAAATATTTGGATGACGGAACTAAAGTTTAAGGGTTGAAGATCAAGAACCAATGTCATTGCGGATAAGTAAAAAAACACAAGTACACACAAAAACCAATGTTAACAACAAATATTGAAATAGATCAATGAGGATATGCAATATAATTTAAGCCAGTATCCATCAGATGCATGCAGTCCACTTACTGATTGTAAACTCAGGATGAGTCAAGTACTCTTCCACGTGAGGTATATCTGTGTAAACCCGTAGCAGACGTCCATCATGTGGACGGATACTTTTACTCTCAGAAGACTGCACAGGGGGCGGTAATAAACTTGTGGATTGCAATTTCTGATTGTGCTTCTCATACTCCTGAAAGTAGTAAATTAATTAGTTTCGAACCTCCCTAATACTTTTGTATGATGTATTTTTATCATAATCTATTATTGTAATTTGTAATAGAAGAAATACTTGGATAAAATAGTTCTCTGGTGTATGGAACCAGGCAGTAAATCTGGCAGAGCGTTGTTTATCTTCCCCAATACCAAGAAGAAAGTCACGAGTGCATTCATTCCCTTTCCAAACATTCTGTGTCGGCCATAGAATAGAATAGCTGGGAAAAGTGGGAATTATTACTTGTAAGTTACTAGTTTTGAATTATCACATATCCGGAGGTCATGAGACAACATACATGATTCATTAAAAGGAAGCAGGAAAAAAATTTCACACTTGCATGTCACTAACAAGAGCTAAAAATGATCAAGAAAAATATTACAAATTAGGCATGTTCAATCATATATAAAGCAGAAAGTATCTTAGATCACGATATGTGACTTCAACATCATATCACAAATTTGAAAAGAAAAATATAGAAGAAAACCTCACGGCTGATGCTAGATTGCCCTCCGGCATAAAAAGAAAGGGTGCCACTCTAAAATTGGGCTCATCACTGTGCCGCAAAGCAGAACCAAATTCATCCATTACATACCTAAAAATATCCAAAACAATATGATGTTAGTTTGTTTATTGTTGGGAAATTCCAAGTTGATCGTGTCTTTCATTTAATGTACTAAACCCAAGAATTTGAATGGTCCAATATTGACCCATTGATTCAAGTAGTATCACAACAATAAATTACAAATCAGACAACCTTGATGAAATTTTGTGTAATTAAACCACAAATGCCAAAGCTCATGACTCAATCATATTATGATCAAAAGAAACCTAGTGCTACCTTAGAACCAAGAAGGTAAAAACTAGTAAAATGCATTTCATACCATACAGAGGTTTCATCTAACTTTTCTTCATCAGCAAGTCTATATGTCATTAGATATTGCCACATTGCACTTATAATACGGTCATGAATAGGCTCGTCATGGGTCCATTCAGGGAGGCGAGGAAGAAGCACTGAATCAATAACATGCTTTCCAGTTCCCAATATTTTGGATGTACTAATACCATTTAGTTCAGAAATGTTTGGAAGAGATTCTAGAATTTCAATGGCACTTCCTCCAAGAGGACCAGGAATATCAACCTAAAAATTTGCTCAAATTCCCAAAGGCCAAAACACTGGTTACCAGAGAATGGACATAAAAATTTAATAAATAACAGGCAATTTGGAGCTAGAAAAATTGTGATAACATAAAATCCAAGTACCTCCAATGAATGTAAGCAAGGGAATCCCCTCAGCAAACCTAACAAATTGGCAACTGAGTTTTGCTCCAATGGATTTCCATGAATGTTCAAGTACGAAAGGGATGGCAAATAAATGGGTGAAAAATCCTGACAAAACGGGGGAATCAACAAAATATTTAGATAAAAACATGCAGATATGGAATTGGAAATAATGATTTGGTAATGTTGTATGTTTTATTGATTATGATTGGTTTACCAGTTACCACTGGGCATCTCTTGAGCATAGACTCAATGAGACAGTCATAATTATCAGAATTTTGAACTCCAGCAATCAAAGTGTATTCCAGAAAATTAATTTAGTATATCAATACTTTTAAAACATAAGCTAAATAGATAGAAAATAAGCATAACAAAAGGTTCAACCTTGTTGGTCAAATTGTGAATGTTTCTATCTGAAAGGTCAAGATTAGATACACTCAGCAGTGGACTGTCAGCTTGATCAGCATTTGTTGGGCTATCTTTTCCATATATCTCTGCACAAAAGCCCAAAGCCCATTCCCCAAAGTTGCTTGTGAAAGTTGAATTATAAATCTCCAGTTCTGGTAATTCCTTAAGAATAATATCTGCAAACTCACCATCACTAGAGGTAAAGCAATTTAGTTCTCCTTAACAAAAGGACTTGCAAAAAAAGAAATACATCGTTCAAGAAATTTTCAAAATATGAGAAAACATACCGATTTTTAAGAACCGGATTATCATTCAGCCAGAGTCCTTTGAGATGTTTAAATTTGATAACTTCTTTAACAATCAGGTCAGCTCTTGTAAGCTTGTTTCCATATAGGCTAAGCGCAACTAAATCCTAAAACAATGAACGTCGAGGATGGTGCATAATTATTCAATTTATATTATAAATGACAAATAATACAAACCTAATACTTTAGGGATGATCAAATAATAATAATAATAATGCATGTAGTCATCTTGCTACCCGATTTAATTCATATCATATTGTAAGCATTCCTAAGTTTAGTAAGCACAATTTTTTTCTTTTTTTCAGGTACAATACAAAACATGATTTCTATTTGCTCATGTCACACTATCAAGATAATAGAACCTATATAAACTTTATAATATGTGGTTCAATTCATTAACCATTTAAATGGTTCGAGTGTTTTTGGTTCAGTGCAATTTAGTTTGAGTATATAGTTCAATTTAGTTCGAGTTTTTTTGGTTCAGTGCAATTTAGTTTGAGTATATAGTTCAATTAACCATATTTTTGCACACCCCTAATATAAAGTATCACTACAGTTACAAACCGGAAATCTGGCAGGCAAGTCCAGTGAGAGAAGCGTATCATCATCAATGTCAAGACTGTCAAGCTCCAACCATCTCAATGTACCATCGCCTTTCTCTTTCGCCTCTCGAACCTCACTTTCAACAACTTCCACGACATCAGCCTTCTCTCTCGAAGCTTCATCACCAACACCCTCCACCTCAGTTTCACCATCTAAATTTCTGTCAGTATCCACACACATCAAAGAACTCATCCTCTCTGCTAATCCCGGAACTTCACGCAACTAAAACCACAAAAAAAAATATAAAAAAAATTAACAAAGTAAACACCAAAATGAAACCCTAGAGAGATAAAATTGGAGTTGGAAGAAGAATGTGAAGAAGGTGAGGACCTGTTTGTAAGCGTCGGGGAGTCTGAAAGTCCAAGCGTGATCAATGAGGAAGACGTTGGAGTCTTTGGCCATAGAATCTGAAGTTAAAACGAGGCGTCTCTGGCGATTCTCTTCGCAAGGCTCGATCTGGAAGTGTTCGCCGCCGTCAAATGTCTCGGTGGAGAGTTTTTGGAAGAGACGGCGGTGAAGTGGCTCCGGCAAGCCTGAGGCAGCGAGTAGAATTGCATGAACTTTAGCGAAGTCTTCGTAGGTTTTGATTCTCTTGGGGGTTGCCATGGCTACCATTTTTCTGTAAGCTTTGCTTTGCTTTGTTTTTGTTTCAGTGTGTGCAATGAAATGCACTGTGACGCTGTGCTGGTTGTGAAATGAAGTGAAGCTCAACACACCTCCTCCTATCATCACTTTACCAAATTAACCCTGGAAAATACTGGATTTTAAAAATAAAAAAAATTTATACCGGAAATTTTATAAAAATACCGAAAATTTAGTTGAATTTCCATTTTTTTATCCTGGCATATGCATTCAAGTTTTCAGTATATCCGTAATTAACTTCTGACCTCGTGTTCGATAGTCCGATGATAGTGATGTTAATTGTGGTTACATCTATAAGTAGTTTGGTCCATCTTTATTCCATTTCATATATGTCTGAGGATCCGCATAGCCTTTGATTTATGTGTTATTTATCCATTCTTACTTTTTTTATGTCAATGTGGTGACTGAAGATAACTCTCTTCAATTATTTCTGGGATGGGAGGGAGTAGGTCTTGCTTCATATTTGTTAATTCATTTCTGGTTTACACGACTTCAGTTGTAAATATTGGAAAATTGAAATTTTTGGTATGTGAAATAAATTTGAAATTTGAAATTTTCGATAGTTATTTGTAATTTCATCTGCTGACATATCGAAAATTTCAAGTTTAATTAAAATTTTAGGTATCTGAAAATTTGAAATTTCTGGTATTACGTTTTCTATGAGAAATTTGTGTAATTTCTGATATATGACTTTTGAAAATTGTTACGAAAATTTTAAAATTTCCGATGAATCGCAACTGGAAATTTCAAAATTTTCGATTAATCGCAATCGAAAATTTGTAGGATGCAAAGAATTTCTGATATGCGGCAAAATTCGGCACCAGAAGTTTGCTAAGCGTCCGGAAATTTTGATTTTTATCCCTTTTAACTCATAGTCAATTTTTTTTTATAAAAGGTAAAAAATTTAGAGTAAATAGTAAAAGGAACATTTTGGGAATAATGAAAAATGAGGTGGTGACATGTATAATATGGGGTGACATGTATAATATGGGGTGGCATGTTAATCTCTCGGTTGAGTGGCGTAAACTAGTTGGGTCGAGCCTTTTTGGATATGAGAGATTTAATCCGGCAATTTCTTTTACCACTCTATTATCTTCTCCCAAACTCCTGGCAAAATATCAAAAATGCTCTTTATTCAGATATGCATATTTGAATGCACCATTTTTTTATTTTACTTAAATTAAATTCGGAGATGCATCTGCAAAGGTGTTTTAGAGTCTATTCGTTGATACATCTCTGAATTAACTATTTCTTTTAATTCAGAAATTCTTTCGGAGATTCATCTCTTAATGAGGTAAATGCATTTAAACCTCGCGCCAGACCCTCCCTCTTCTTCTTCTTCTTCATTTTTCAGAAAAAAATTCTTTTCCATTGGAGCTCGTGAGCAACATTGTTACAATCAACTTTTCAAGCAACATAAGAACTTTTACTTCTATCTTATTGTTCTGGACTGGCCCAATGACTAGAATTGACTCAATCTGCTTCTACCTCCAACATGGCCCAACAGCTTTGGCCCACTAGCTCTGACACTTCAGTCAGGCACACTTGGTCGACTATGCCTCATGGATGGAGTGACCAACGATGTCCTGAGCCATGCGGCTACCCGTATCAGTAACTACCTCTAGGTCAGCTAGACACGCATGGAGTAGACAACCTAGAAACGTCCATAAATGCATCTTCTCGTAATCTCTATCTTGCTCAGAGAAACGGCTAGTTATGAGCATGACTGTCCGTTTTGACTAAGCCCTGGGAGTTACCTATTTTTGAGGAACCTAATATCTAGGCCCAAAAATAGGAACGAATGGCCAAACATCGGGGGCACTATATAAACCCTCAAACTTGTAAGGGTCAGGTATCCAATATTCACTCTAAAAACTCTAATCTCTTTTTTGCATCTCTTTGCACTCTTTCTTACTTGAGTGTCAGACTTCCTTGTAGGTACACCCCACCCTCACCTCAAATTTTCAGCCAAGCTGATGTCATCTTCTCGGTCCACTTCAGGTTCTGATCAACCGCCAAGATTAGTGGTGACGTCTATAGGAAATTGCCTTCTTCGTCTTCCTTTTCCTCAAAACTGAAGATCAAAGCGACTTTCACGACTTCTATCATGGCCGACCATAATGACAACCACTTTTCTGGAAAGAATCTGCTTTCCCACATCCACAAGACAGGTGTGAACGAAGAACCTCCTCATCTTGAGGATATCCCTGACATCAGATATGGTCGAACCGCATCTCTCGACTTGATCCATGGTAATCGCGAAGATATGCATTTCTTAGAGAACCAGAGGTCCAAGAAGTCCACCAAAGAGGAACTCCCAACAATCCTTCAACCAGTTCTGATTCCTCTCAACACTGACCCAGCCATGGCAGCTCTACTCACTACTCTCAACCAAACCAATGCCTTAATCCAGCAACAGAGCCACGGGATTGAGGCTTGGGAACAATAGTGGTCAAGGTCTCCTCCTCGGAGACACCGACGTTATGACTCATGCAGTCTATCACCTCCAAGGCGTGGTCGTCTTCTCGCATGGCAGAAGCAAAAAGTTTCTTTCCTCAAGAAATCGGGTCGCACACCTCCATATAAAGATCGATGATCCCCGGTCTCCAAGAAGAGGAAGAACGGCCAATGGCTTGATCACGACCACTCATTGTTGCCCAAGCCAAACCAGCGACCAAGAAGCATATTTCCCCGTCCGAACAGCAGCCCTCAATGAGGAAGAAACCATTACTCTCCACCTTCATCACCTGATCAGAGCGACGATAACGATCCCCGTGGTCCTTTGTCTAGGGAAATCATGGAGATTCCCCTACCTATTGGGTTGGAGAAACCCCCTCGACTGGGAACCTACGATGGAACCACTAACCCCGACAAGCATATCGAGAACATCGATGCTCTTCTCGACTACAAAGGGATCCGAGGAGCGATCAAGTGCAGACTCTTCCCTACAATGCTCCAAAAAGGAGCCATGGCTTGGTACAAAAGTCTCTCCGACAAATCAATTACGTCTTGGAAGAACCTGGGGAAATAATTCTCCAGGCACTTCATGGCTTCTCGCCGCCATCCCAAGTCAGAAGCGTCGCTAGAGGCCATCATCCAGGGGAAGGATAAGTCTCTGTGAGCATACATTGAAAGATTCAACAAAGAAGTTGTCCAAGTCTCCACGACTGACGGGACGAATAAGTACCTCATCAAGCGAGGCGTACGCCCTCGCAATGACTTTGCCAAGGCAGTTGGCATAGAAACCCTTGCAATGCTAGATTCCACCATGCTCAAGGCACAAGCGTACATCCAGTACGAGGAGAAGGAAGTCGCCAACAACACGCGAGACTCGCAGCATCGTGAGAATGAAAAAGTTTCAAAGAATGACGAGCCCTTGACATCCCGTCAGGGAGCAGAAAAGAAAAGGTATGAAAGTCTCACGATTTGAGAGACTGCAAGGAGCCAACTGGTCATTTCCACGATTATACCCCTCCTTAACACTTCGTGCAAGCGGATTATGACTGACTGCGTGAACGTGAAGTTCAAACAAGTTAGGGTTTGTTTTCCCGCCAAACATCGTCCAAGCCATGGACAGACAAAAGCAAATATTGTCGGTTCCACAAGAGCCACAGGCACACAACAAAGATTGCATCCACCTGAAGGATGCCATAGAAATCCTTGTCCAACATGGTCATCTCAAGCAATATAAAAAGAAGGAAGTTCCCCACGAGGACTCCCGAGAGTCCAAGAAAGTCGAGGAAGAGAAGCCTTCCCCCGACGAAACCCTCATGCTTGTCGCCATGAGCATTACTAGGCCGGAAGATTTCTATATCCCCGACTTGGACGAGATCCCCCTATATTTTCCAATGCACAACCCTTGGGAGACATTTCCATTGGCAATGGTTATATCCGGCAGGGGCTTCAACAAGTGTACCATAGGCTCGGTAAAGAGAAGATTCTAGCAACTAATGGATGCTAGCTCTGACAAAAACGCCACCCTCGATATGTTTAGGGGAAGCTCTACTCCCATCGCATTTTACCGAGAGGAACTACCCGATGGAGTTCCCAATTCTAGCATCCTGCTGCTCGTTCAAGTACGAATGGACAATTTCAATGTCAGACATATTTTGTTCGATCAAGGAAGATCAGTTGATATTATGTACTCCCAACTATTCACCACCCTACATCTCAACGAGGCTCGCCTGACCCCATATATAGGCTCTGACCTCTAAGAATTCAACAGTTCTATCACCAAACCCTGGGGGTATGTCGAGTTGATCATCACATTCAGGACGGAAGAAATGGAAAAGTCGATCAAGATGCAATTCCTCGTGGTGGACTACCCATCATTGTATCAACGCATTTTCGAGAGGTCCACCCTGGCCGAACTAATAGTGGTGCCCTCCACTGTGCACCTGAAGATGAAATACTACATCGAGAAGCGACCCGTCGCCATCCTTCATGGGGATATATAGGCAGCAAGAAGGTGTTTTGAAGCAACTGCCAATGGTTTAAGCTCCATTAACACACAACTCAAAACAGCCAACAGATTCGCTCTGCCCAGCAGTTCTGAAGAGCCAAAGACGTTGTTGCATATCGATACAATCAACCTCGGCAACTGCTTCACAAAAGAAGATCTCCGAGAGCAGAAGAAGAAGGGGAAAGAGCCTATGTTAAACGCAGTAAGCTCGTCCTTATTAACGAGCACTAAGGAGCCCGCACACCCTGTGTGGCTAATTCCAGAGAGGGAGTTCGAAATTGTTCCCCTTGATAGCCACCCATCCAAAGAGGTTAGAATCGTCGATGGTCTCCTCAACTTGGCAAAGAGACAATTGGAGGCGTGCCTAAGGGAGAATGCAGACTTGTTCGCCTGTAGCACAACAGAGATGCCCGCCCTGGATCTAGAAATAACTTGTCACCATCTGACAATAGATGTCCGACATGGCTCTCCAATGTTGTACTCGTAAAGAAATCTAATGGAAAATGGCGCA